TGAGGCTCGAAACCCCGAACCCGAATCTCACGTTTACAGGTCCGATAGCCTAACCACTATGCTACCCACGCCCACGCCACTAAATTGTATTTCCAAATTAAGAAACGTTTTCACAGATGGTAAGACAAGGTATGCAGGTGGCAAGATATTTCACCTTGAGTCCATTTGATTAAACGAAAGTGTAAAATGAAGCAAAAAATAAACAATAAAAATGAAAATGAAAATAAACACATTTAAACCAAAAAAACAAAACAAAAATGATTGTGATTACAAAGCAAATGTGTGTTGGGGGAAAATATTTCACCAACAATCTATTGATGAGTTGCCATTTAAAGCTTGCCTTAATGCACGAGCATTGTTGCAAACAAAGCATACTTCGTTGTGGGGATTGTCGGAACAGTTTCTTAGAAGGATGGGTTGAAATGATAGCTGCCATTCCCTCTACTTGAAAGTCGTGAAAGACCAGGCCACCCTTGTCACTGACAGCAAATTCCTTCATGCGGTTCGGCCCCCTTCGACCCTGCACTACTGGAACAAAGCATTGACCACTCCTTGCTCTTTTCGGTTTTTCTTCGTCAACTGCTTGATACCAGCCGCATCGATGAAGGCGAATTCACACAGCTAAATGTTCTGCATCAGCTATGCTGCATATTTATGTCTTGTTGCTTCAGTCCTATCATGGTTATTTTTTACGTGGGAGCGTCCTTGGGATCTTACTTTATGGTGATCAATTCATCCTAAAAGGATACTGCTTATGGTTGACGTCAACTCCGTTTCAGAACATTAAAAACGCTTCTCAAGCTGAATAATCTTTGTGGAGGGTATTTGCTTTTGCTATGAGGCATTTGAACTTGTTACTGTGTCACATTTGGATTTGCTATTTGTACATTTGAACTTGTTACGCACAATCGTGCACTAAAATCTCCTATTGAACATTTGAACTTTCTATGTGGCGTGAAACTTTCTATGTGGCATTTAAACTTGCTATGTGGTATTTGTATTTCTTATGTGTACATTTGATCTAAAAAAAAAACTATAGCATCCAATTATACGTATCAGTATCAGAAAACAAAAAGGGCAACTTTATTTTTTTAAAATTTGAACAGAGTACCTCACAAACGCCTCGTTTCAAATTTGTATGTACAGGGTGTCTAAAAAGAAAAAAAGGGCCCATTTAAAGGGCAATAACTCGATTGTCAATTTCACAAAAACTTTGAACAAACGAAATTTAACCACGAGGACATCAAGTCTGTAAAGAAAACCAATCAAATGTTGGAGAAATATTTCAATTTAGGCCCCATGTACAATAACAATAATAATATACTTAGCAAATACATCTGTGCATGTTATATAAGAAATCCGTTCAAATATAGTCGA